ATTAAATATACTTTCTTGGGTTTTATACCAGATCTTTCTGACAACCATAACGAATTCGCACGAGCGCAATATATATCAAAACTAAATATAATTGGGCAGTTGATCAATTGATTATTACTGATTGATTGATCAGTATATTATCACATTATTACGTCCGCGAATGAGTTTATTTTGTCGCGAGTCACCTCAACCGCGAGTTGAAGCAAAACAAAAACCTTGAACAAAAATGAATTAAAATGGAAGGAAATTTTGAATTCTTGTAGTTGTCATAGATCGAATATCACGAGGCAGAAAAATTTATTACCGTGAAATAACCGGCCTTTTTAACGATCGCGGAGACCCTTTCAGGAGCAGTTGTATGGTAATTTTAGATTCTATTTTGTTGTAACGTCTCGCAACAAATCAGCAACAAATCAGGAAATACCATCCCAAATATAGTGGATGTGATGAAAGAAAGCCTATACCAGTTTTACGTGGTATATATAATGGTGATCTCTGTTGAAGAGCAAATGATCCATGAAGCTTCCTTCGGCATACTCTGAGTATAAATTCCAGAAATAGCATGTTGGCCGGGAATAAGAAGGCTGAAGGAGATAGTGCAGTGGGTCGAAGACTGAAAGTCTGTGGGTGATAGGGCAGTGGGCGGTGGACAGGAAGTCTGGAGGAGATAGAGCAATGAAGGAGAGCAGTGGGTTCTAGGATATGAAGGCTGAGATAGGAAAGAAACACACGCGTGAAATTGGTCGCAAAGAATGCTTTGTGGCTCGACTAGTTAGTTACTAATTAGTTTTCCGATGTTGCTGGAAATAAATTACGCGCACGACTAGTAATAAATAGATCGCATAAAATATTTTTTTAAATTTACCTCGTCAAGATTTACATGTCTTTTTCATGTCAATAGTCGATCTCAGCATATGACGATAATTTGTGGATGCTAATATATTCTCGAGAATGGCTGTTCATATCCTCATTATTACAACTTTCTTTCAACTTGCAGAACTCCGCGTCATTTTAAATTTATCTCGGCTATTCAATTTATTTCTTGTATATACGTATTCGGTTATATCTGCTTTTACAATGCAATTACTCGACTTGAGATGTGATTGTAAATGAAAACGAGTTTTTGACAGAATCGCTTAGTCAATTTTTTTATTATAGGAAATTCAAAGCACTTTGCAAAATAGCATTTTGTGCTGAACTTTAGAAAATATGTCACTGAAATGCGATGAAAGAAACACACTCCAAACTATTCTATTTTGGTAAAATTGCACACGCTAAACCTCGTGTAGTATGAATTTTTCATCCTCCGAATCAATTAAAAGACGAATTCGGGTTGACTAAAATTTTGACTGCGATTTCAATACTGTAATTTCAAAACAATAATTTCACGGTAGGTTCAGAAACTTTGGAATTGAAATCTCCGTGAAGTCTCGTTCCGGTGACTTACTAGTTAACTTAACGCTGCGATTTACACAGAGAGTTCAAAAGCAACTATAGAATTGAAAATGATATATTACCTAAAAATTTGTGTAATTAAATTTAATCAATAAAGTCATGGTCACAAACTATAGCCAAACTAGCCATTAATGTCTGATTTGGCAGTATACGTCAGCTTGTATAAACAACATTTTCCATTCGCTTTAAACTTGGAATTTTTTGTTGTGTTTTAATAGCACACGTGAACTTCTATTATCAAACTCATTGCGATTTAAATAAAAATAAAATATTGCAAAATGCTAACGTTAATTCGGCGATGTCATCGTTTACTATATAATGAAGTCACGCCTAACCGCTAATCCGATTAGAATCTGAAACTGCGTCACTACCCGATTGCGGTAAATTACAGGCATAAAAGCGAGGCGACGAAAAAATATCGGTATACTTTGATATCGATTGCATAGAACCAAATATCCAATAAAATAGTTAGCTGAATTTTCAGAGTTTGAAAGAATTATTGAAAGATTTATTCTACGTGATTTAATGTGATTAGACATTTCTCATAGCAGAATTGTAGCTGTTTTATTCGATCAGCTAATTTCAAAGCGTAAAAGACTGAATTAAGAGTTTATATATAGCATATATGCTATACCAAAATATGAGACAATAAGAATAGACAAACTTGGTTAAAAATTCAGACCAAAAATTGGAAAGAGCCGTAGCGTTTTTTATTTCCTATCTTATTTGGCTTTTGCATCAGGCGACGACGTCGAACGAAACGATCGGCGTCGTGGTGTACGGCAAAGATAGACGGCTGTTTTAATTTATAATTGCTTACATGGCCTGGCCTATAAATGGTCAGGGCCGACTTAACAAAAGCGAAACACCATGTACGATACGAATTGTTTTTTACCTAAATACGAAATTACAATGAAACATACTTCCCTCTTCTACGAGTCTAGTTATCAGTATAAGAACGTAAACGTATATGAAAAATGACAGCAAAAGTTTGAAATTGGTAAACAAGCGATATTAAAAGGACTGAACGATGAAAACCACCTGCTCAAAAGTTTGTCATGGAATTATTAGAGCCAATAGAATTAGGAGTATGCTAAATGTATGGTTTCTTCTTGTTCATTAATGTAGGTTTTATCTATTAACATCAGAATTCTGTGGTATTTGCCGTACTTTTGTTAAGCGCATACATAAATATATTCCATCCATACATTAATTTTATAATAAATAAGTCGCGGTCCAGCAAATCCCCAGCGGGGCAACATGGAGTTTTACTCGACAGCAAATGAAACATAATCAAGCATTATCAATGATAATCTTCATCCAATAATATTTAATCGAATTAGCGGTCACGCGTGACGTTCATTGTGGGAAAAACAATAACATCGCAGAATTTATTTATTGCAATATTATGAATTTGAACTTCCCCCTGACTTACGACCATATCCTGAAATAGTCATCAAATGAGAAATAATGAAAAATGAAGATGAAAGCAATAAACAAGTGAATAAGTTTACTTTCCCACTGAAACCTCATAAATTGCAATGAATTTTAAAATATAAGTTTACATATACTATAAAAATAAACGCAGGGTGGTTCACGTAAGCGCTTGTCGTTTATGGCTTCCTCCGCCATCAAGTCCATGCATTTATTTTTGAAAACAAATACCTGGCTAATTTCATACCCGACTTGAACTAGTTTTCCGGACGAAAGGCCGTGGTTCGCCATATGATTGAGCCATCTTATTGGCTTTCCTCTGTCTGGGATAGGTTAAACTACTGAAAGATATTAGTTCTGACAAGTCTAACTCTTCTTACTACTGTACTAAGTAGTCCCTGATCTATTAATAAAGATTTATAATAAATAGGAGCAGTTTATATGCGGGTAGAAGAGTTTCAAAATATCTAAGGTGTAGCCTATGTCTCAAAAACACACTTCCAGACTGTTTCTTTGCTTTTCTTCAGACTAATGTATTTATATAACATTACGCTATCTCACGCTATATTACTAGCTTGAGTTAGATCTCATTCTATAGTGCGGTAGCAGCTTATCGTAGACATCACGCTATACCAGCACCATGGCTGTTTGTACTGAGTTTTTGGCGGAGGTGCAGAATACTATACAGTTTTAAAATATCTGAATAATATGCTACGAATGATAGTTTAAGTAATTACAATGTAGACATTTGGAAGTATTTGCACACGTTTTTATAAACAACAGTTTCCATCGTATTTTGAAATCCAGATAATTCCGATTACATTTACTGTCGACTTTTAATAGCTTATATAAACTTATATTCTATAATTCATTACGATTTCTCTATAAGTAGAATATTGCAAAAAAACTAAAATTAATTCCGCGATGTCATTGTTTATCCCATAATGAACGTCACGCGACATCGCTAATCCGATTAAGATTTGAAACTACGTTACTGCATAACAAGCGTCTGCTTCTATAAATATCCGAATGCGGTAAATTCTCAAGCATAAATGCGATGCGACGAAAACATATTAGTATAGTTAGATATCGATTCTCTAATGGGAGAGTTTGCTGAATTTCCAAAGGTTTTTGAAAAAGAAGTTTTAAACCTTGTAATTTATGGACGTGATTCAATACGATAAGACATTTCTTGAAGCATAATTGTAGCTGTTTAATTTATTCGGCTAATTTCAAAGCGTAAAAGATCGAACTATTTTTTTTATATATGTACTACATATGTATGCTACAGCAAGAATGTGAGACAAAAAGAATAGTTTAACTTGGTTAAAAATTCAGTCCAGTCAGAAAGAGCCGTAACGTTTTTTATTATATTTTTTTTTTTGGCATTTGCCTCAGGCGACTACGTCAAATGAAGCCTCGTGGTGTGGTGTACGGTAAAGATAGACGGCTGTTTTAATTTATCATTGCTTACATGGCCTGGCCTATAAATTGTCAGGGCCGGTCTTAACAAAAGCGAGACATCTTGTACGATTCGGATTGCTTTTTACCTAAATACAAAATTACAATGGAACATACTTTCTTCTACGAGTCTAGTATGACAGTAAAAGTTGATAATCAAGCGTTATTAAAAAGACTGACTGAAGAAAACCACCTGGCCAAAAGTTTGTCATGAAATTATGTGAGCCTATTGAATCAGGAGTATGCTAACTGTATGGTTTCTTCTTGTTCATTAATGTAGGTTCCATCTATTAACATCGGAGTTTTGTGGCATTTGCCGTAAATTTGAAGTCCAAACAGAGATATATTCCATTCCTACATCAGTTGTATACCCGACTCCTACTGGTAACCCGACGAAAGGCCGTGGTTCGCCATATGATTAAGCCATATTATAGGCTTTTTGCTGTACGGGATAAATATGTAAACCCTATACCATTACTAAATAGTCCCTAATATATTATTAAACATTTACAACAAATAAGAGCGGTTTTTATGCATTGGTTAGGGGGCGGTACAAGAGTTTTAAAATAACTAAGGGGAAATAGTCTATGTATCAAAATCACACTTCCAGACTGTTTCTTTTCTTTTTTATCAAATTTATTTATATAACATTATAGTATATTAGCATAATATACCATAAATACGGGAGTCAAAATCATTTCAACCTCAGTTTTTTCATCAAAGAAGATTTATTGACTTGGCTGGAGTTATCAAGCAAAGTTGGATTTATTTGTGGAATTAGTAAAATGCTTCTCAATAAGAAGATTGTATCTGTAGTTATACTGGTATGTGGTGAGTGTTCTGTTTTATAATATAACCACAATCTATTACTTAACATTCCAAGCAACTGTGGAATCTAATTAATTTTGTTAAAAGTGTAGTGACAGTAATTGTTTTATGTTTTTTATGGAAAAGATCCTTGAATTTCATTGTACTGCATTTATTTCACCGAAAAACTAAAATTTTACCCATTTATTGGGGGATTTACCCGAAGTGGTCTGAAGTGTAGAAATATAATGTGATCGACGTGTTTTGTAATGACTCATTGCCGGGTACACTTGTTTAATTTTAAATAGACGCACTGAACTTGCTGCATCGCAGTGTAGGCAATTCAAAATTATTTTTAATTATCTTGTCATATTTTTCTGGTCTTGAATAGTACCATTGAAAATTGCTCTGTAGTGTCATAAAAAGTGGTTTGTTTTAGTTTTAGGAAAGTAGACTTCAGCAGTATTTTACAAAAAAAAATTTGGAATGTCAAATTTACCGTTCACCTTCTTTGTGTGTCCGGCAACCTAATTATCTTTGCTTATCAGTTTAATATTAACTGACATTGCAAATTTGTCCCGCAGAGTCGCACTTTTGAATATGCCGACTTGTCCCGTAGAGTCATCAAAATCCAGGAACTCTAATTTTCAGTTCTAGATGCTTTTGTACAAAATGTTCGATAAGGAAGTAGACTGCAGTATTTAGAACTGCAATTATGGAATGCTTGTAGCAGTATAACAGCATTTTTGTGGTGTCATATCTTGCACAGGTGTAATTAATTGATTTTGTACTTTTGTAGTTTATATTGTCACACCCTGTGTAATATTGTAATTGCTTTTAGATTAATTTACTTCAGTAAACATGGAATACTTGTCTGATTCCAAGACTGTCGTGGTATATAATTATAATAAAAACACACTTCACACCTCTAAAACGACGGGCTTCCCCAGGCTAAAAAAATTCGAATTTACTGCAACCTTAGTTGAGAATCTTCACTGTTTAGCGTTCTCTAACCTGATATACCAGCATGCCACTTCTGAACGGCAGATCGGTGGAAGTCAATTACGAAAAATTCGTTTGTGTTTTCGTCTCGTTATTTGAGGTTCCGCACTAACGCAATTGGCAGGGCACCGCCGATAACAACGACGAATGAACATTCAATGTTTTTTTGCTGGATATCGCTATCTTTTTCTGGATCGCGTAAATCTGATTCGAATTGCTTTGAATAAGATTCGATTCCTAAATCCAAAAGTGTCATCCCTAATACCAGCATAGAGGAAAAATTACAACGCTTTGACCCCTGGGCCATCACGAACTATATATGAGATCAAGAGGTAATTAATTCCTGGAAGGTACTGAATCTTTCCGATTTTGCGTTAAACTATGAGTGTGGTGGACTTGGTGTTTGAATCCAAGATGTTTAAACTACGTTGGCAAATTTAAGTCCAATTCTTCAACCACTAGGCCATCGTGTTTACTTTAGTAAATTCACCTTTTTTATTCAAAGTCGTTTGCCTGGCAACTTCTCAAGATTGTCAAGCAAGGTATGAGGTCGCGGCGAAGTGGGAAGATCCGACGAGAGTGTGCAGAAAAGGTTGTGTAAATGATGCAGATTGTTCGAATGCTAACCATTCTTGCCTGTGTGATGATCTATGTGGATTGTCTTGTTTTAACCCTGGTAGGTAATAGGTATACTTAAATTATGAATCGGTGCTACTATAGCGTGAACTGCTTCCCACATTTTCTGAAATATAAATTTTTTCTCTCGACCAATGGCTCAAATTCTAAATGGGATGTCGTATGCTACTTGTCCGAAATTGGATGACTAATATAAAACAATGTGAGAAAGCTGCGCAAGTTTTCTCTCAGCAAGGTTTTGGATTACAACTTCACTTCAATGCGACCGCAGTCGAACATTTGCTATCTTTTTCCAACTTTCTCTTTCATCCATTTCACTGGCAGGATTCGCCCCTGATATTCCCTTGTCCTGTTGAAGTTGATCAAAGTATGTACGTCGCTGTCTACCCACGTTTCCTTCCCCATGTTTTGGTTCCCATAGGATCAGTCCATGTACGATTTCTTTCTCGTTTCTATAGCAGTGGCCATTGAATCTAAAGCGCCTCTCCTTTATTATGGTTGTGATGCTTGGTAATTTACCATATAGTGTTTTGTTTGGAATTTTGTCCTGCCATGTTACTCTTTCAACTATTCTAGGCATTTTTGTGTATGCGCCGTTCAGCTTATTGCATGCTGCCTTTGTCAGAGTCCACGTTTCTGATCCATATAAGAGAACAGTTTTTACTGCAACTCTGAAAAACATTATCTTTATTTCTTCCTTCAATCCTGATTTCCAAATTTTCTCTAGTTTGGACAGTGCTGACCAGGCCGTTCCAATTCTGGTATTTATATCCTTTGAGCAGGTATTTACCCATCCTCCCAAATATGGAATACAAAACAAAATAATTGCTGCAACATTTTACGCTGTGATACAATTATTATTGAGCAATACTTTAATATCAAATGTCAAGCAAACAATAGCATTAATTAGAAAACGAAATTAGTAACTTTCATGTTTTTGTTGAAAAAACAAGCGAATAATTTAGCGACTCGTGAGTTCAGTGTCAAAGCAAATTATGGTAGGACACAAATATTGGATATTCAATATTTTGGATATTCAAACAGTAAAATACTTTTAGCATGCTTCATAATTCGATTGTTATTCTCTGTTCTATACGTTATTTAATAGTATATTTTCATTTTTTCAGATGATGAATGTCCCGACTTAACCGGCACCTTGGCTAATGGAGTAGTATGGATGCCAGATGGCCGCAAATATTATGCTAAGGCCAAGCATACTTGCAATGATGGATATTACAGAGTAGGGATAGAAAAGAGAATTTGTAGATCTACAAGGAAATGGAGCCACGTTCAAGCTAATTGCACAAGTGAGTATTTTTTGTGTAAATTGAACTACCGTGTATCCTCGCATATAAGCCGACCGTTAAAACGGTGAATTTATGAAAATGTGCATATGAGCCGACCCTAAAAATTGTAACATGTCGACTTAGTTGTAGCTTTTGGAATTAAGATAGCATAATGTGGTTTTGTTCAAGTGCGATCAGAGTTATGCGTGTATATACCAAATTTTTAGTTTGATCAGAGTTATGTGCGTATAAGCAGACCACTTCGTTTGTCTTTTATCCGTTTCCAACTCGTCTTACATGCCAGAATTTACAATAACTTATTCCTTCAAATAAATATAGGTTGTTGTACTCTGTTGGCTTTAATCGTGCTAAGCGTTAGGAAAACTCTTGCCACCGGGAAGTGTTGAATGAGTTATATTTTCACTGTTGTATCTATCTTATTATAATGACTAACGATGTGCAAAACGAATTGAAAAATTGTCATCCTAGGCTTTGACATCTGATGTTCAGACATAAAATGTACTCAATAAAAATAAATTAGTAGTCATAACATTGTTTATCTCAAACTATTCAATTTGAGTGAGTTTAAAACATCTTTGTTGATAATGGAAAATTTGTAAAACGACTTCTGAATAAATTTACTCACCAGGTATAAAACCTCTGCGACTAATTTTGCTAAGTTAGAATAAAACTCGCTTAACGATGAATGTCAGGGAATTATTATCTCTGTTGTAATATGTATATTCAAGCAGGCTGCCGAATAGAAAAATTATTAGTTTTTTTAGTCTTCATTTGTTATTTCTATTTCTTGTCCAGGTGAAGTTTGTCTGTATAGTATATACCTTCAAAAAACTGTGCAACTGGCAGTACAAAGTCAATTAAACAACAGTGGCCGTGTCTTTGCGTCGAATACATTATTAATTATATCAACCAAGATAAATAGTAATCACAAATCATGTTTGAGAAGACTCATGGGAAAAAATAAGCCACCCCTAAAAAATAAAACAAATATAGCCGCCCAGCAAGACTTCCCTCCCCCCAGATAAGTTCGGTCTAGAAAAGCAATTATTCATCTGTAACTGATGACATCACTGGTCATGCTCAGCCATCTGGGAAAATCCAAGTTGTCAGAAATCTAAAAAATTACAGTTAGCAGCGGGTACTTCGTATATTGACGTGTTTTAAAGGCACTAATTATATGGGCCACAGGTTTTACTGTGTAATTTGGGCTATTGGTACAATGGCCATTGGTTTGCTGACCACTGCTTCAAATCAAAGGTGTGCAACCTTTAAATACAAGAGGCACAAATTATACAGGTTTCAGCGTGTATTTTGGCCTATTGGTATACAACTGCCGAACACTGATTTAGATTTTAAAACGCTTGCTGGTTGAAACCGAAAGTTGGTTGAACTTTTGATGCAGTTGAGCAAACAACGATGACTTTGCGTTTTATGGATAGTAGAAACAGTAATATGATTGATAGTAAATGGACATTCAGCCATGGTGGAGGAGAAAAGCACATATTTAACAAGATTCTGATTGTTATATAGGAGTGTATATGCCCGATGGTGGTATCATTTCTTTATTGAGGGAAAATGTAATTGCTGTGAAAAGATTTTGGCTTGGGTAACTACAGGACCGGGATATTCATGTCCTTATTGTAATTTTGTAAAGAGTTTTTGTACATTTGAAACAATGGCTCAATTGCTTCTTCCAAGTTGTGCATATCTTTCTATATATAGATTATTATGTAATTTGATATCTCCTGCCCAGATGAAGTTTGTATGTAATGGACATTTGAAATGACTTTTTTATGGCGTTTTATGGATAGTGATAACGAGAATATGTTTGATAAAAAATGGGCATTCAGCCATGAGGGGACAAGAAAACTTTTTTCTCGGTGCTGAAAATAGGGAATTTCTCTTCAAATTATCAAAAAAATCGTCAATTTACCTGAGTTAAAGTGTGATTTAAGCAAGAAATCATCATTAGCGCCCGACCGAGAATTTTGCGTTTTTCTTGCAAAAGTAATGAAAAATATAACAAAATCTTAAAATCATGCAATGATGACAAAAAATTGCATAAAAAGTACAGTTACACCTTTTCTTGTGCATCACTGAGGTATTTTAAGAATAGCGATTTTCAACGTCTTATATTAGAAATTAACAGTGTCAAGCCACATAGCTGAAGAAAAGTGTGTGCATGGTAAGAAAGAACACTTATTGTAAAGGCCGAAGCTTATGGATATCAAAAGCTCCAGTTCAACAGTCTCAAGTAGTAGTTGACAACGCAGAGTCTCTTTTCTGCATTGACTCTAATCATACTTGCTCTTGTGTTTTGCTTTTAGACGGCTCTACAAATTACTGGTGTTTTTATTTTTTAAATCGGCGGAACCTTGACTTAATAATGATGAGCATATTTTACAAATTGCGTATTTCCATACTTTGCTCTTACCGCTAAAACCAGCCATCTATAACATATCAACACATTTAGTTAAATTGCACCTTCGACTACTAAAGCGCGTTGAAAATCAAACGTCGCAAAAGTACCGGTAAAGAATTTTAGCCTAGTCTATCACAGCTATTTCTACACTAATTTTTGATTACTGCAATTAAACTGAAACTTCTAGGAAGACAAAGTGATCATTGAATTATTTGATTTCTATTTAAATGTCCGAAACATAACTAAAAACGAACGAATAGAAATTGAAAATGCGAAAACGAGGCATTGTTTACGACCACGCTTGAAAATCTATCTGAATGAGAAAAGTGTCTGGGCGAATGCGCTGACAATTTGGCAGTCACGTAACTGGCTGATAACTATCGGTAAAATTAGCCAATACCGATGGATCCAAATTTCTTAAAAACAAGGCGGATATATCTGTGGGGTCCCAATCATTGTCATACCAAACATAAATCCCATTCAGCATATTATTGTGTAGAATGGTTGCTGTACTTTTCAATATGTTATGATGGTTCACGTAACAGTTCGTCAATTAAGGCTTTCTCAACAATCAAGTTCATTCATCTGAAATGAGTAACTGGTTAACTGATCTCATAAACGACATGACTTTTTAATTAAAGATACCGGGGTTCACCATATGATCGTCGACTTTCTATACCTAGCAATCATTTCGATTCGGCATTGCCTATACACTATATTATACCCTGAGTGAGGTGGTGAGCATAGGATTCTAACCAGTATGTTATTTTATCTTTCAGGAGGCTGTGCACCACCTCCAACTGCCAGTGGCGCCTATGCTGACACAGATCCTGACATCCTCGGCTATCAACCTGGGGAAACGGTGACGTACGTTTGCAACACGGGTACATATTTTGAGTTTTTAATCTGTATTTGGAGATTAACTTCAAGAGGGAAACTTATCTTTGAGTAAAGAGCGTAAAGGCATTCCAGAAATATGTGTACCATATGGGGGTAACTGATTTTGTTTGCCTACTTGATACATGAAATTGTGTAAAGGGACGGAAGCCTATGGACAGGGGTATATTCACTTAGCTTACACAGACTACGGGAGTACCGATGAATCTTCGACAGTATCAAGATTTATCGATGACTTTGTGCCTTCTCCAGATGGAGGTTGCAAATACTCAATATTATACCAGCTTCTGTACTTTCCAGTTGCTTTACCAACTCCCCAAGGTACTTTTGCAACTTTCATGTGACCGATTTTGTCTTCCTTGAACTCAATATTTAACGTTTAAGAGCTTTCGTTGCAACAGATGAAACCGATAGTCCAACGTTATACTCTAAAGATTCACTATTTTGATCAGTCTGTTTATAATCTTCCTCCTCATCATCATAAAACATTTCTTCAGCCCTTGGTTGCAGTTTCACAGTTGACATCTGCTCAAAACCTTGTTCATTTTGAGCTTCTTTTTGTTTACCATGTCTGCATGCATGTACAGGTATCACCATTCCAAGGTGTCTGAGACATCCATTGGCACCAATAACTTATGCCAGACCTCTCAATTGTTCTGAATATGTTTGAACTGAACTTGCTTGTAATATGCTGTGTTACCAATCTCCTAATTTTCATTGCTACGGGTTCCTCTACGGGTTAATTTTTGATTATGCAATGCTCTTTGAATTCAAAATTTTGAAAGATCTCTTTCAGTGAAAACTTCATCGTTTTCTCTTGCAGCGTTCGAAGTCCCAGTCTTATATGAATCATTATTATATGTAAAAGACTGATGCGGTGATGCTTCATATTTTTTAAGGTCTTTACTAATTTGTAAAACATTACTACTCAGTTATCTCCAAAGTTTATCACAGCGTTTGCTTTTGTCATGAAATCTTTACTTCAATGAAAATGGTATGTTTTTATTGACCACATCACAAGGTATTTTAACTTTGGTTTCCCCAATTTGAAGCTTTGAATTTTGTCCATCACCAAACTTAAAAAATTTTCTCTATTTTTAGTCTTAATCATTTTTTTTCTGATTGATAAGTCTTTGCAAATGATCAGAAATCCAATTTTTTCCGCATACGGAACCAGTAGATGCTGAATCTAATATTGCATATTCAAATATATTTTTGGTATCCATGTCATTTACCACTGACATCACATCATACTCTTCAGTAACAAAGTTCACTTTACTTTCTTGATGCGGGCAGAACTTTTTAGAATGCATCTTCGAATCACAAATCTGACATCTTGTTGTGGCATGTTTTTATCTTTAGGAAAATTTCTCACCCAATTGTGAATTAAACCACAAATAGCACACTCACTGATGGAACCACCTTTTCTCAGTTGATTGTTACCATCTCGACTGTCATAGTTGTGCCAAAATTTATTAGAGAAAAATGCCATTTCTTGTTTGACTTCTACAGAAGACGTTGATGCTCCTGCATCCAATCTTTCTTTAACGCTGACTTGTATTCGAACTTACCCACAGCGAGGACTAATTGTATTTCTTTAATGGCAATATTTGTTACTTTGAGTAATATACATGTCATTACAGTGTCTGGTAATTTCATACCAATTTCCTCATCTTGGAGTCCACAATCAAATCTTGCCAAGTAATCTCCTACAGATTCATTTACAGTTTTAATATAATTAATAAAAATTCTCAATTTCAGTGTATGCCCCATATGTTTTATCAGCAGTCTCTCTTTCAAACACACCATCTAATTCAACAAGCAATGTTGGCATTCCATCATCTCCGTTGAATTCATCGGAGCTTGTTTCTAGGGCATCTTCACTAGTTTTTCCACATAAGCTTGCTTTTTCTTTTCAAGATCTGTAACCTCTTAAGATCTTATGATTCCATTGGTCGTATGGCTTCACTTCTGTCAACAAAGAAGAATTCTTGTATTCTTGAGAAGTTATTGCGCATCGTCTGACATCATTTTTTAACTCAGTATAAACGTATAATTAGTAAATGCCGATATATAAACATAAATAACCAAACCAAACCAACGTAACCCCAAGATAAACCAACAGGAATGAGCTCTCAAGTACATAGAGCACATGGCTACTTCACCGTCACAGCTGGTTGGTCATAATCAGCCATCTGTGACTAATGCCATCACAGGTCATGCTCAGTCATCTGTGGAAGTGCTGGTAACCAGAAATACAATAAAGATATAGGTACATCTATTACTAAATTACTCTCTTTTAAAAGGTTTCGAGGGTGCAGGAGATTTTAATGTCACTTGTCAAGCTGATTATGAGTGGTCGACTGTCCAGTTTTATTGCGCAGAAAAGAATTGTGGGGTCCCTCCTACTATTTATAACGGTGGATACAGAGGAACAAGTTTCTTATTCGGCAATACTATTTATTATTATTGTAACACAGGTGAGAGCGCATCTTATTTCACCACTTTATCAGATTTTTTTATGAACTTTTGAAGTTACAATCGACTACTGAAATGCCAATAGCGTACTGAGACTAATGAACTATGGGATCAAAATTACATAATTTTCCTTGGGGGAGAAGAAAGCCAATAGGATTGGTTGATCATAAGGCGAATCACCACATCCTGTCCGGTTACCAGTTCATGTCGGGTATGGGATTAGTTAGCCAGTTATTTGGTTTGGGAAGCATGGACTTGATTGAGGAATAAGCCGTATGCAACCAGCGGTTATGTGAACCACCCTACGGTGGCGAGGAGTCCAGCAATCCTCTCGCACATTATTATTCTTGCATGGGATTCAAACCTACAACTCACACAGGGTAATCAGAGGTGCGGGCTTATTCTCAACGCTTAGCACGATGCGCCAAATCACCGAGCATTAGGATCAAGTATTGCACGCTTTCACTCATAAATAAAGTGAAAAAATAAAATAAAACTTGTCTCTGAGCAAAGTTACGCGCGACCACTAAAGTGTCGAGTGCTACTGAGACAACAGAATTAAATTATTGAACTGCACTTTCGTAAAATTCGATTGATGCGGCACTTGAAAAAGTTTACAGCATGGGGGAAACGTGCAACATTTTTTACGTGATGATGAGTAATAGATTCATTTATGATGGAAATTTTTCACAGAAAGGCCGCTGGAACTTACCTATAAATGTATTGAATACTAACAAAAAGGATTTCCATGTGGAAAATTAATGAAAGCTATAAATTCGATAGAAACGTGCAACAAATAAAACTATTTATTGTTATTGAGAAGCAATCGGTCCACAGACCATGGAAGTTCCAGAACTGCATGACTAGAAACTAGATAAGATATGTTATCTTTCGATATATTTTTATTCATACAAACCTATTTTTCAGGTTATGATATCTCGGGCACAGCGGTTCGGAGATGCATGGCTGATGGAATATGGATACCCGAAGAAGACGCGCCAACTTGCATGAGTGAGTAGCTTTGTGTGTAGCAGTGGCGGCGCGTCAATAGGGCCAATTTTTCGGTATAATAAAAAATATTCAAAAAATACCTCAATATCGGTTGCGCAGACTGTCTACACTAGCCATATTCTCCCGACATGGTTCATTTTTCGCTCGCAAAGCCTTCGACGGGGCGACGCCGATTTTGCCCCGGTTGCTCATTGTATATCGTATTCTCTCTTTTATCTTCCACTCGCCGCGTTTGTTTTCTGTTTCTTTTACTAAATGATCGGGGCTAGCCCCGAAATTATGACGACACAATGCCGACGTTTCTTACAACAACGTGTTGACATATTCACGCATTCCTTCTCGTTCGTTGGTTGCTTGAAGAGTTGATAGTTTCCTCGCCTTGTTTTTGTCGCCTTGTTTTTGAATTAGTTAGAGACCTTTAGTCCATTTGCTTTCGATTTTCCACATTCCTTTTAAGCTCCTCACTTCTTTCTGGCTTCGCATTTCTTAGCCTTAGACCTCATATTGAATAAGTATGGTGGCCCATCGTTGTCACGCGTAAAATTGAAAATAAAAATAAAAAATAAAAAACCGAAAATAAAAAAATTGTAAAAAAACATAAAAATAATTAAAAAAAAAAATGAAAATTAAAGAAAAAAAAATTAATAGAAACGAAGAAAAAAAAATAAAAAAATTAAACAAAAAAAAAAGATTTTCTTGAGCAATATTCAATATGGAAATGTTCTATAAATTCTCCATGCTACAAGTTCAACAAGAAGTAATATATTTATAATAATGATAAGAGAATATAGAATTGAATACAAAAATTCCGAAAATTTGTTTTTACGTGTATAAGGTAATTTAATTGGAGAATGCTGCTTAACTACTCAGTTGTCTGGACACTCGCGATGGCGGTACCGTACCGTCTTACGAAATACCGATAGTCGGTTATAGTCGCTTTGCGTCTGACCGCACCGGCACTCACTATATTCTACTAGGATCGAGGTATGGATTGAAATAAATGGTTGAGCACGGGCGATTTATCATTTGTCTGGATCGGTACGTTACGGCTGTACGGTATGGGGCAGGCGCAGAGAGTGTTTCAGTAGACTATATTCTACGAGACTATCCGTATCTCCCATTCTTTCACGAGTGATTGCATGGGTACCGGTTCGGTCAGACGGTACCGTACCGGCATCGCACGAGTGTCTGAGCAGTTAAGCAGCATTTTCCAATTAAATTACCTTCTACACGTAAAAACAAATTTCCGTATCCAATTCTATATTCTCTTATCATTATTATAAATATATTGCTTGTGGTTGAACTTGTAGCATGGAGAATTTATAGAACATTTTCATGTTGAACTTATTGGATATTGCTCATGAAAATCAGTAGTGAGTTAGAAACCCAGGAAACACATTTGTGCGTGTAGGATTAAGCCTGACAACGTTGGTCCCAAGCAGCATCGAATTTTCCAAAAATAAAAACGCGTGACAACGATGGGCCACGAGGCGGACCATCGTTGTCAACCTTTTTATTTTCTTTTTATCCAATTTTTTTTTTTCAATTTTTTTTTTTTTTTTTTAATTTTTTTTTTAATATCAATTTTTTTTTTAATTTTTTTTTGTTTTATTTTCAATTTTTTTTTTTAATTTCAATTTTTTTTTTCTTTTTTTTTTAATTATTTTTATGTTTTTTCACAACTATTTTTTTATTTTCACTTTTTCATTTTATTTTTTCATTTTTTTTTTCAATTTTACACATGACAACGATGGGCCGCCATAAATAAGGTTGATGCACTACTTCGCACTCCGTTTTCGCAGCTGCCGCTGGAACAAAAATTAGAGGTACAACGTCTTGGGCCTTATCAACCAAAAAATTGTTCTCTGGAACAATCCCATGACGGAGGAAAGCGTCGGCGTACATTCTGCGCAGAAACTTGGTATAAAAAACACGAATGGTTGTGTTACAGCGAGGACAAAAATGCACTTTTTTGTTTTTATTGCTTACTTTTTGCTACCGCCCGTGACTCTCACGTTGATGTAAATTTGGTTTTAGAGATCTTAAACATCTTTCCGAGCGTGCCAGGGATCATCAATCTTCTATGGAGCATCTGGACAATGCAGTAAAATACCGAACATTCGGAAATGTTAATATTGCAGCACAGTTGGATGAAGGACGCGCGGTTTCTATTCGTCGGCACAAACAAAACGTCGAGAAAAACCGCCATGTTCTCGGTCGATTGATAGATGTTTTGAAGTTCATTGGTTGTCACGAGCTGTCCCTCCGGGGGCACGATGAACGGGCTGGCTCTTCTAATAGAGGGGTATTTTTGAATATGGTGGAATACACCGCATCCCTAGATACAGTATTGAGAGATCATATTGATGCCGCAACTGTTTCGAAAGGGACATCTAAGGATATCCAAAATGATTTCCTCGACTCAATGTATAAAATTTATTTACAACATTTGGCTCTGGAAATTGAGAATTGCCAGTTCCTTTCGATTCAGTCTGACGAGACAACTGACATCACGTGCGTTTCCCAACTGGCTGTGATTTTTCGGTTTGTGAAAGATGGTAAACCTACCGAGAGATTTCACAGCTTTGTACCAATCGTTGATCGCACGGCTTGCGGGATATCGGCTGTACTGAAAGAAGTATTACAGCCTTACAACGCGAAGTCAAAATTGATAGCTCAAACTTATGACGGCACGGCAGTCATGAGTGGGTCGAAACATGGTGTTCAAGTTTATATAAAAGAAGATTTTCCTCATGCGCATTTTTTACATTGTTATGCACACCAATTTAACCTCGTTATTAAAAATATGTGTATGTGTCTTGATACCCCTCTCGTCCGTATATTTTTTGCAAATGTTTCGGGGTTTTCTTCATTTTTTTCCGTTTCGCCGAAGCGCTCTGACCTCCTTCGCCAGATATGTAGCCGCCGTCTCCCAGCTTGTGCACCAACACGTTGGAACTTCCAATCACGCGTGGTGCAGGGCGTGTCCGAAATTAGGTCTGAGCTCATTGAGTGTTTCAATGGCATTCAGAGCTCTCCGGTTTGGGACGAACGCTCTGTGAGGGAGGCGGCAGGTCTAAAGCGTCTGCTAGAAGATGGTGAGTTTTCATTTTTTCTCGCTTTTTTCTCCACAATATTCTATCACGTGTATGTATTATACGGCGCATTGCAGTCAAGGCTAATGAATGGATCGTCTGTGCAGTCGTATATTTCAGACTTCTGCGATGCTGTATCTCGTATCTGGGAAACAATAAAATACGACGACACATGGAGTGCTTCTTTACGCTGCGGGCAAACAACGCAGCGTTTGATTTTGTCTGCTAAGGAATGCTGTGACATTATGGTGAATCAAATAGGCGATCGTCTGCGCACTGAACACCTTGCCGCGTTCTCTTTGATGAACCCCAAAAATTTTTCAAAATTTGCACGTCAATTTCCCATCCATTTGTTGGCTACTGTCTCCAAATTTTACCCCATGATAAACGTGGGTAAATTGGAAAATGAACTGCGATGTATATACACCAATCAAATTTTTTTGAACATCACAGCAACTTGCGCGCTCTATGGGTTCCTCATAAATAACACTCTAGTAACTACCTTTGCGGCGTCTGCAAAATTTCTGGACATCATTTTGACGACGCCTATTTCTTCCGCCGACGCAGAGCAAACATTCAGCACGCTGAAGCGTATTAAAACGTATCTCAGAAACACAATGAAGCAAAATAGATTAAATTTCTTGGCTGTTTTATCCATTCACAGAGACGTTATTTCTGGGATGCATGACTTTAACCAGCGCGTTATTGAGCATTTTGCTTCCAAGAAGCGGCGTGTTGCACATATGTTCAAGCAGTAGAAGTCTAGCAGCATATATATCTATGAGTGAGCGACGCATGTCCTTATCTTCGCATTAACTTTCCTTTCTTCATAGTAACGTTTTAAACCTTATTTTAGGTTTTGTCTGCTTTCCCGAAGTTTTTGTTAATATGTCATTGTATTTATCTGGGTAAATAGTGCCTTTCCTTTTGAAAGAGGTTTCAAAATAAACTATGTCTATATTTATTAATCCCTTGACTTGTACCGGTTTTAAAGACACTTTCTTATCGTTAAAAATTGTCGCTTTTGCCGATTGGTTGTTACCGATGGAATGGTTTTTATACTCATAAAATGATGGGAGAACTTACAGCGCTCATCCTGTCCCCGTAGATGGGGGTGACTTGGTCCCGCAGTAGCTTGCCCCGGTTGTCAAAATGACCACGCGCCGCCACTGGTGTGTAGTGTAGGTCTTTTTGAAACTACCAGGATAAATTAAATGGAATGTTCATAGTTAAATACTATTAAATATTTTAACCAGTGTTCACTCTAAGGAAATTATGAGTGCGAAGCTGCTTCGCAGTTGAAAAATAAGTACGTCGATGGTTCTGGTCGATTTTTTTACGAGTTATGTGCCATGGCTTCTGTTTCAACTCTTTCAAATATAATAGGTACTAAAAAAGCAAAAATGTGATTATATCTAGGGGTGTCCAATAGAGTCCCAAATTATTCGGTTAATTTAAGAATAATCGAATCGTATGATAATATAATATAAACAAACCACACTCGGCGAAAAAGTTTCATATCCACTTTTCGTGTGTGAATAACGCTCGTCTCGTGCATAGCTGGTTTCCCAATATTCTTCTCGCCTTTATTTTCAGCGTGAAAACTTTATGTTGCAATCGCCTAATGCCCGATGGTATGATATTAGCCGTATCATATATACTTCTAACTTAAAGGTTATCATCGGAAATCAAGAATTGAAATTACATTTTCGAGGCAATTTAGTGTCGTCAGAAAATGATCGTTCTATAAATACCATCAATCCGTAGTTGTTCAATTAGTAGTCCTTACTTAGTTAGAATCAACTTTCATCTTCGACAATGATACACCCAATACATTTTGATGGTTGTTGCGCTGCAATAATAAGGATGATCATGAAACATACCTTACAATCAATCTACAACCACCATACATACAATTTTAAATTCCTCGCCAACGGTTTTAGGTATTATAATAATTTTGGAATCATTTTGTTACAAAATTTCCTTTTGTCATACGTCTTCGAGGTATATTTTGCATGCCTAATTTTAAATTAGTTGGCAGTAACCATATCGCACTATCCGACATGCTGCATACCCAGTATGAAAAATATTTGCATCCCGATGACACTTGCTGCTTTTCCATATATCACATGAAAAAGGAACGGTTACACAAAGAATTTTTTTTTGCGAACGTACACGAAATACAACGAATAGTACTCGACAAAACATCAATATAAAAAGTAACGAAGGATAGCGGTTCCAAGCTAGTTTGAGTGTATCACGAAATATCATTCCATTTCTAAGGAAAATTTAATTCTTGTGCGCCCACACGAACAAAAAATCATGGAAATCAATTTAGAAAAAAAATTATGATTATTAAGTATCAAACATCCATTTGAGATATAATCGATTATGCATGAAAGCAATCTCACATGTGGCATCGGTTAGATGTGTATGAAATGTAAAACACCTATTTTTGTATTTCAATATTAATAAAATTGAATTTCCTTTTCCGTCCCTTTATACTCCTATTATAATATTAATAGTGATTGCGTCTTGAGTTTGTGAAATTCAGAAATGTAAATATTATATGTTCTATATGCATATAACACTTCTTTGGAGTGGCCAAAGAAAACAACACGTAACCGCTTTTCGGCGTCATGGTTAAACTCGTTTTATGAGTGTTTTGAAGAAAGGGAAAAAATGGATCACAGTCTACAATTTACATACCTTTCGCTGATTATGCAATCGGTATTATTGAGGGTTTTTTTCGACCGAAAAATATATAGGCGTGCTGTGATAGATTTATAGGGCACATTCTTCTGATTTTTTCACAATCAGCAATTTCTTCAGAAAAAGGTCATACACAAAAACGAATGAGTACTGAATATGCAGATACTGCCCGCATGCGTACAAAAAATTCCAATCTTTCAAAAAGCTCGGCTCTTTAGCGACACCAAAAATTGTCTTTCCATGTTTCATTCAATTTTGTAATTTGATTATATAATTGTACCCGGGGTAAATTTTCACAATTTAGTCAAATTTCGTCCGTATCATACAATACAGATCTAAGCCTGCCAAAATTTTAATCGCAAGTGTTACAATATACACAAAAACCTTGCCAAGCATCTGGGCGTTCATAACCGAATAGTTGTATAATTCTATCTCGCGATTGGTCTCGAACATTTTCGAATCATTTTTAGATCCCGAATTGCTTAATTGAACAGGAAGTTTATCTATTACTTTAGACCAGGGGTCTCCAACACGCGGCCCGCGGGCCGCATGCGGCCCACCAGCAAATTTTTTTCGGCCCGCGTCATGGTTAGGATTTTTCCACAAAAAAACTAAAATAGTACGATGTCAACTATTAGTAGGTTTTATCGTGTCATTTATCATCAAGAGTCCGGTCCGACAAACTGTAAAAAGTCAAGCAAAATTCCCCCCTGTTGTCCACGTTCATGTTTTATTATATTGATATAATGCAATTATAAATGCGATAATTATTTTTTCCGCATGTTCATTGTGACAAAATGAACAAGTTTCGGTCAGTTCATCGTACCAGAAGAAAGGTTTCCAAAGCTAATTGCACATTCACTTTGCATACCTGCGATTTTCGGCAGTTCTAATATTTGCGAGCATTTTTTTTTCTTCGACTATGAAAGTTAGCAAGTCAGCCCTCCGCACACGACTAACGGACGAGTATTTGCGTGTTGTCCTGAGACTAGCACACCAACGCAAAATATGGCCAGACATCGAGAATAAATATCCAGCACAAGTGAATGAATATGTTTCATGTCTCGTTTGCTGTGAGATTCAAGTGTAATTTCAACACAATACATTCAGATAGCCATTTTTCTACCTAATTTATTGGTTTGCGGCCCGCGTGGTCAATAAATTTCAAAAAGTGGCCCGCGGCATGTTTTGAGTTGGAGACACCTGATTTAGACGAAGCTTTGATATCTGTTGATAAATGGGATCAGAGTTTGATAAACATTTATTTTCAAATTTTCAGTAGTCTAGGGTTATTCCTGCCAGAGAGCTGTTCAGAAAATCAGCGAACTCATTTATTTCATCAGAAAATTGTGAATGTATCAAATTCGAACAATCTGCAAGATACACAGACCTTCGTGACAGCGATCTTCAACATTCTCGGCAAATTAATGAGTTGATTGGAAAGTATGAAGAGCAATCTACTGAGATTGGTGAACTTCGGAAGATAAATGCAGAGCAATCATCTGAGATCAGAGAGTTAAAGAAAGGTTGATAAATGTTGTAATGTTGTTTAGTATGAAAATACTTGGAATAGAATTTTGACATTAAATTATTGGATTGTGACTCAATGGCCATCTTTTACATGTGTCAAAATTCAAAAACACTGCTGTATAAACATCTAGTTATGTCCTGTTTCATACTTTGTACTGATGATTGGTGCAAGGATGACTCGAAACACTTTTTAAAACTTTTCACAAGAGATTAAATAAAATGTTTCAAAGATTAATGCAGCTAAACCTGATATTTTTATTACTGTACTAGATTTGATTGAAGTTCAAGAAAGAAATGATGAGTTGGAGGGAAAATTGAATGAACAAAATAAAACAAATATTGAGATGAAGAATGGTAATAACTGTGTTACTTTATATATTTGAAGCATTTCTCGTCGTCGAATAAACGTTGAAATTACAAAATGCTAATGCAAAGTTACAATATTATGAGCTTGGATACCTGAATAATCAGTAAAATATTAATGTTTGTTTGCCATTTAAAATGACTACACGAGTAAGCATAGTCGTCGTTACAGAAGTTACTTTTAAACTTTTGGATACAATTAAATGCGGACATAATTTCGAGTGTTTAATTTTTTTTAAATTTCGTAGGAGTTATTAATGAATTTCTGATTTTGTGTCACTCTGTATTATTAGAATGTGAACAAAGACGAGGTGAACATTTTGACATTGTAAAGTTGAAATGCAAAATAAACTATACCCAACCATTCATCCGATTATTGTTATATTTAGCGATATCTCGAATTGAACAAAAAATGGTTGAAACGGAGAAGTCTTCGCATCTTCGAACTCCATCAAGACAGATCCCCAAAACAACAACAATCACTCAAACAACATTGAGGACAACTTTTCCCCCAGGTAAAATATAGGTTCAGTATATCCAAGTAATGTTAGATACTGTTAAAGATTTCAATGTTCCGAAATATTCTTCTTCATGAATGCATATCATGTTATACCTCAAGTTTGCAAGTATCAACCCAACTGATCAAGCAAATTTTTATTTTTAAATATCGGAGCAACAAGGTGAGGCTCAGTGCTTCCTGGACGAAGAATAATTTACCCTTATTTTTGAATAGCTTCCTAATGTAATTTCATGCCAAAATATCATTCGATCCATTTCAGAAAACTGCGAATTGAAGATTGAAAATATCTGTTATTTCGCTGTGCTGAACCCTACTCAAAGAATTAACTACAGCGAAGCATTTAAGATTTGTAAGAAACGTAACGCAGATGTTGGTTCGATTCGAGATGAAGAATCAAACAATGCGATTATGGATTACTTGAGAAGGAATATCCCTACTGTAAATAGGTTGCTCTATATATGGACTGGAATCCACTTTGATCCCATGGTTAGTGTTCTAAAGATGTTCTATTCATACTCGTAAAATATAGGAATCTGTTATTGGACGGATAAAGTATGAGCATGCCCAGATCCAATGCTACGACAGCCCTTTGAAATTTGAAAAAAAAAACAGACATTTTTAACTGTCTTTGTATACATTAGTACACTCGAAATGACTCATCTGTCCTGAAGGTTGCAATGAAATCATGTGGGCCAGTTTAAATAGGAGTATGCTAAATGTCGGATCCTTGTTTAATACTGCTGGTTGCATTTATTAACACATCAGTTACGGCGGAACACTGTGGTTATTGCCGTGTTTTCAAAACGTCCATACGTTCATGCAGAAATATATTCCATAAGTTAAATTCATAATGAATGTGTAGTTTTGGAGAAACCAATCATTGTAAGCTCGAACATGGAGATTTACTTCACAGCATATAGGAGTTGAACAAACGTAACCCAGTGATAATCTTATATTCATTGTTTGTTTGTTTGTTCTTAGACCCGTGACGTCACTCCGGCTGATTCATTCATACAATGGTATTCAAGTTATCCAAACACGGGAATCGATCATAAAGATTTCTCAAACGTTTACTTTTCCATACATGTCCTCCCGACTTTCTTACATCAGGGAATGGGGAATACTCGTCCTACGCGGAAAATGCAAGGAGTTATTTGTGAGATCCTGATCCAATGAGACGTCTGCCTGGTTGTATTTTGCTCCTCTGGATCTATCATCATTAAAATAAAAAATTATTGAATCCCGGTGAAGTCTTTACAATTGGCATTTCAATTAGATTAAACTGTTGACAAGAATTTATATCGATATTTTAAACAGTCATTCAACTGTTAGATTATTTTGTCTTTGTACATCAACTTTTTTGAATTATGAAAGTATAAATGTAAAATTCAGTTATTTAAAAGTTTAATTTGGATAATTATAATTTACAAAATTTGGAATAGAAAAAATTACGAACCTGCTTTTTCGATTCGAAATAAATTTAGTTTTCATGTGATATACTTTTTGTTGATCTCTCGTCGGTTTTTCAAAGAAACCAGGATAAGCTAAACAACAGTTCAGACTCGTTGAATTAAGACAGCTTATCATTGATTATACACATAGGAGGTAGGCTGATAAGTTTTCTTTTCATAATAATTGAATAAATGGACAATGTATTATGACGCCTATCCGCTAAGAATGTTTGACTTTCGCACAAGTTAGCTTACATTGGAAGCCAGCAAAGACACCTCGTTCAGACAATGAGTTTGCAGGACTTTTCGCTGTTACATCACGGTTTATTTGTCACTACGAAAAAAACGGGTTTGTATGGGAAGATTGCTGCAATCTTAACTGGGCACCGGGTCGAGGATAGGAAGATTGAGAGAGATAGGGCAGTTGGTCGAGGGTAAAATGGCTGAGGGAGATAGGACATTGGCTCAAAGACAGGAAGGCTGAGAAAGATGGGCATAGGGTCGAAGATGTAAAGATACAGGAAAATAGGGTAGAGGGTCGAAGACAGGAAGGCGGACGGAGGTGTACTGGGTAGAAAATGAAAAGTCTGATTGGGAGACTGAAGGAGATTGGGTAGTGGTTCGAAGGTTTGAGGACAAAACGGTTAGGGGAAATAGGGCAGTCGGTCGAGAGTAAGAAGGCTGAGGGAGATAGAGCAGTCGGTCGAGGACGAGAAGGCTGAGGGAAATTAGATAGGTCCGGGGATAGGAAGGCTGTTGAAGATAGGCAGTGGGTCGAGAAGGTGAAGGCCGAGGGAGATAGGTCAGTGGGTCCAGGACAGGGTGAGATAGAGCAGAGTGATAGGGCACTGGGTCGAGGACAGTAAGGCTTAGAGAGATAGAGCAGTGGGCCGAGGATTGGACGGTTGGGAAAGATAGAGGACTCGGTTGAGGATAGGGAGGCCGAGAGAGATAGGGCAGTGGGTTGAGGATAGGAAGGACGAGAAAGATAGGGCTGTGGTTTGAGCATGAGAAAGCGTGGGCTGATAGAGATAGGGTACTGGGTCAGGGATAGGAAGGCTGAGAAAGATAAGACAGGGACTGGGTCGAGGGCTGTTCATATTGGGGACCTCCGGAAGTATGCGCACCAAGATGGCGCACAACCTGAACTCAGGTTGTGTACCAGGTTAGGGTTCAGGTTATGCGGCATCTTGGTGCGCATACTTCAGGAGCACCCAATAGTATTACAAACTTGTAGCCAATAAAACTAATGCATCATCTTAAAATATCACCGCTATTCGATTTATTTCTTGTATATACATATTCAAATAAATCTGCTTTTGCAATGTAATCACTGGCACTTCAGAGGTGAATTTAATCAAAAACGAATTTTTGACAGACTTGCGTAGACAATTTTATTTTTATTATAAAAAATGCAAAGCACTTTGCAAAATAGCATTTCGTTCTGAAATATGTCACTGAAATGCAATGAAAAAAATAGCACTTCAAACTGTGCTGAGGTAGAAAATCGAACACATTAATCCAGTCAAAGAAATTAACTACCATCCAAGTCAATTTAAAGACAACCCTAGGTAAACGAAAATTTCAAATTCGACTCCAGTATAAAGAATATTTTGGATCTAAAAGAAACGAGCGGTCAGAGCAAAAACTTAGAATTGTTATCTCCGTTGCTGCTGCCTCGCTGTTTCCGTCGGCTACATTTCTTTCTTTTTTGTAACTAACTACGTCTAAGTTGCAATTTACACACAGCTTCAGGGCTTCTTGTTTACAAAATTAACTACAAAATTTAAAATGATATATTACCTAAAAGATTGGGTATATTTAATGTCTGCTTTGGCAGTATATGCCCTCTTGTATATTTAAATACCTTTGCGTTGAATTTTAATACTATATGTAAACCTATACTCTAAATTTATTGCGTTTTTTTTTTTTCAAAAATAGAATATTGCTAAAACGTAAAATTAATTCAGCGTTTATCTTTCAATGAACGTCACGCAATATTATTTATCTTATAAAGATCCGAAACTGCGTCACGACATAAATGCGCGTATGCTTCTTAGTATTTGCTTCTATATATATATCCGAGCGCGGGAATTTTTAGGCATAAAAGCGAGGCGACGAATACGTATCAGTATAGTTTGATATCGATTGCATAAAGACAAGTAGCTGATGTGATAGATAAATGAATTTTCGAAGTTTTGAATAAAGGGTTTTGAACTTGGTAATTTCTAGACGTAATTGAAGGACATTTTTAAAAGTAGAATTGATCCTGAAACCGTTTTCCAATACGGATTGTATTTCAACTGAATACAAATTATAATAAATCTTACTTTGCCTTATGAGTCCAGGTATACAGTATAAAAAAGTTGACCTATATGAATATAATTTATAAAAAGTAAATTTATTAGGTTACCGATTAAATTAGTGCGGGACGGTTGTTGTAGCGGCCTCAGATTGGCACTGTAAAGGTTATATAAACATATGCGGAGTTGAGGAGATTCGTAGGATAGGATTTAAATATTTATACCGGGGGAGAGGAAAGCCCATTAGACGGTTTAATCATATGGCGAACCACGGCCTCTCGTCCGGTTACCACTCCAGGTCGGGTATGGGATTAGTTAGCCAGATATTTTTTTCTATACTCTATGTCAGGGGTGGCCAACCTTTCACATACCATGCGCCACGTTTTAAACATAATATTTCAGATGCGCCGTAAATCTCTTGAAATTATATAAATTTATAATACACACACATATATACACACGTATATGTAGTTTTTACAATTTACAACTTCACATGAATAAAAATTAAGCAAGGAGGTATAATAAATAAAACTGATCAATTTTATTTAAGTACCGCCTTTATGAGACTTTTGCTGCTGTACACAACTGCAAATGTTTACAAACAAAAATCAACCTTAATACACGCCTTTACACACACAAGAAGAATCTTTACCAATTAAGTTTACAGAAAACCACTCATTTGGAGAATTACCGAATCACTGAATTAAACACTGAATGAATGAATCTCAATGACAGCCGCATATATATAGTTAACTCAACGAAAATTTGAGCAATTTACGATAAACAGATTACGATTGATTACGAAGAGGGAACCATTGTGACGCCATGCTTCAAGTAAAAACTACAGCCTTCCTGAAAGTAGGAGTTGTTTTTTCGGTATAATAAAAAATATTCGCAAAAATACCTCAATATCGGTTGCACAGACTGTCTACACTAGCCATATTCTCCCGACATGGTTCCTTTTACGCTCGAAAAGCCTTCGCCGAACGTCGACGGGGCGACGCCGATTTTGCCCCGGTTGCTCATTGTATATCGTATTCTCTCTTTTATCTTCCACTCCACGCGTCGCAAGGAGGTATAATAAATAAAACTGATCAATTTTATTTAAGTACCGCCTTTATGAGACTTTTGCTGCTGTACACAACTGCAAATGTTCACAAACAAAAATCAACCTTAATACACGCCTTTACACACACAAGAAGAATCTTTACCAATTAAGTTTACAGAAAACCACTCATTTGGAGAATTACCGAATCACTGACTTAAACACTGAATGAATGAATCTCAATGACAGCCGCATATATATAGTTAACTCAACGAAAATTTGAGCAATTTACGATAAACAGATTACGATTGATTACGAAGAGGGAACCATTGTGACGCCATGCTTCAAGTAAAAACTACAGCCTTCCTGAAAGTAGGAGTTGTTTTTTCGGTATAATAAAAAATATTCGCAAAAATACCTCAATATCGGTTGCACAGACTGTCTACACTAGCCATATTCTCCCGACATGGTTCCTTTTACGCTCGAAAAGCCTTCGCCGAACGTCGACGGGGCGACGCCGATTTTGCCCCGGTTGCTCATTGTATATCGTATTCTCTCTTTTATCTTCCACTCGCCGCGTTTGTCTCGTTTGTTTTCTGTTTCTTTTACTAAATCATCGGGGCCGGTCGGGGCTAGCCCCGAAATTATGACGACACAATGCCGACGTTTCTTACAACAACGTGTTGACATATTCACGCATTCCTTCTCGTTCGTTGGTTGCTTGAAGAGTTGATAGTTTCCTCGCCTTCGTTTTTGTCGCTTGTTTCGCTATTTGAATCAGTTAGAGACCTTTAGTCCATTTGCTTTCGATTTTCCACATTCCTTTTGAGCTCCTCACTTCTTTCCGGCTTCGCATTTCTTAGCCTTAGACCTCATAATGAATAAGGTTGATGCACTACTTCGCACTCCGTTTTCGCAGCTGCCGCTGGAACAAAAATTAGAGGTACAACGTCTTGGGCCTTATCAACCAAAAAATTGTTCACTGGAACAATCCCATGACGGAGGAAAGCGTCGGCGTACATTCTGCGCAGAAACTTGGTATAAAAAACACGAATGGTTGTGTTACAGCGAAGACAAAAATGCACTTTTTTGTTTTTATTGCCTACTTTTTGCTACCGCCCGTGACTCACGTTGGTGTAAATTTGGTTTTAGAGATCTTAAACATCTTTCCGAGCGTGCCAGGGATCATCAATCTTCTATGGAGCATCTGGATAATGCAGTAAAATACCGAACATTCGGAAATGTTAATATTGCAGCACAGTTGGATGAAGGACGCGCGGTTTCTATTCGTCGGCACAACCAAAACGTCGAGAAAAACCGCCATGTTCTCGGTCGATTGATAGATGTTTTGAAGTTCATTGGTTGTCACGAGCTGTCCCTCCGTGGGCACGATGAACGGGCTCTTCTAATAGAGGGGTATTTTTGGATATGGTGGAATACACCGCATCCCTAGATACAGTATTGAGAGATCATCTTAATGCCGCAACTGTTTCGAAAGGGACATCTAAGGATATCCAAAATGATTTGCTCGACTCAATGTATAAAATTTATTTACAACATTCGGCTCTGGAAATTGAGGATTGCCAGTTCCTTTCGATTCAGTCTAACGAGACAACTGACATCACGTGCGTTTCCCAACTGGCTGTGATTTTTCGGTTTGTGAAAGATGGTAAACCTACCGAGAGATTTCA